TGCTGATGGGTACAGGGTTTCTCTGGGGGATGACATGAAGAAAATGTCCTGGAATTAGGTCGTGGTGGTGGGTCACAACCTTATGAATGACTGCACATCACGGAATCGCACACTATGCAAAGGGTGATTTTATGGGATGTGACTTATACTTTAGTAAAAAATAATAATAATAACCGGATGAGTAGGTATTTCACCAGTGAGGATGCCGGGAGGGCACAGGGAGGCTGGCGTCTCACAAAGTCTAGACCTCACACCAGATCTAGGCAACCACAGAGGGCTTCCTCATAGGGACCGTGCCGCCTGGCATGAATCAGGGAGAGAGCAGGCCTCGGTTGGCAGGGCGGGGAGGCAGGCCTGGCTGGGAGGAGCACATCTCATCACCAAGCCTGGGTTCGAGCCCCAGGAGACTGGCCCAGGAGTCCGCAGGCCTCTGCAGCCTCCGCTCCCTCCTGGGCTTGCGCACAGAAAGGAAACTCAGGGGAGTTGTCCCTGGACAGACTCTTAGGCAAACCAGACTTCAGGAGCCCGTGGCCCTCTGGCTCTGCTACTGGCCACTGTCTGCGCCAGCATTTCCTCTGCTTTCTGTCAATACCAGATACAAAAAACAGTATTTGTGTTTGCACAAAAGTAATTAATGAGCAGTGTCAGCTTTACTGAATCTTTGAAAGGGGCTGGAGGAAAGAGGATTCTATCGCACCACAGGAAACGCCTTCGCACCTCTCCTGGACCCTGCCGCCCTCCAGGTCTCTCTCTGTGGTTCTTTCACCCGGGGTCTCCCCTCCAGGCCTCCCCCAACCTCACTCATACCCAGGCTTGCTGTCTCTTCCCTCTTTCTCCCTCCCAAGAACAGCATGAGTTCAAGTCCTGGCCCTGTCATCTATTAGTCCTGTAAGCATGGCTCATCACCGAACCTCCCTGGGCATCAGTTTCCGCTTCTGTAAAATGGGAACAATAACAGCACTTGGTCCAAAAGCCACTGCGGACAGAGTGAGGGGATACGCGAAAGGAGCCCAGAGCAGGGCTTGGAGCGCATACGCTCTTCATGAGCCTTCTGCTGTTATTTTAGGCGGAACGGGTTAGCAGCCACCTTTTGTTAGCAGAGCCAGACTTGGGGCCTGCTCTCCCTCAATTGGACTGTCACACTGTCTTCCCAAAACAGGTGCAATGCCTTCTCTGAGGGCACCTTAGTGACTAAGTGTCCTTCTGGTGCTTCTTCATCTTTCTGGCTCTGCTCATAAGGCCACCAAGCCCAGGCTGCCTGGTACCCTGTCCCCAGGAAGGAGACCGCCTGTTCCTGGGCAAGCTATGTGCTGAGGGGAACAGACCGTTTCCGTGCCCCAGCTGCCGGACCAGGCTTTGGCTTCTGAGCCGAGGGCAGCATGTGCATGCCCTTCCCCCAGGGGAGCCAACTCTGTGTGGTTTGGTGGGAACTCCACCCAACTGGGCAGCTCCACATGGGATGGTGGCTGATGAAGCCGGTCCCAGTAAGCTCTCTGGGGCCCAGGATGTTCCCACAGGGAGGGCAGGTTGTGGCCCCAGCAATGCCAGGCCATTGCTCTCATTCTGCCTGTGCAGCCCAGGCAAGGGGAGGCTGTCCCTGGCCTTCCCGTGTCCCTGGCATTGATGGAGCCCCCCATTCCCAAAGGCATATCTCTTCTCTGCCGCACAATACAACCTACAGGTGCCCTGGGCCCTGTGTGGAAGATCAGTCCTGGTGGGAGAGGAGGGCACGACCTTGATGGCCTCTTAGCATCCTCCATCCAGGACAGGCTGGGCAGCCCCCAAGTGCCCTGTAGACCCCCTGGAGCAGGGCCAGCTCTGCTGGCAGTTTTGAGTGATGCCAGGGAAGGCTGACATAGACCTGACCCGGGAGAGCCCAATGTCCCCCTCGTTCTCAACCCCCTGCCACAGACAGCAGAGTTGGACCCAAACCATGTGATCAGCTGCCTGAGGTCTTCCCCCTCCAGCTCTCTACACCCCGAGATAGGCCTCCAGGGCCCCCCCAAAGCAGAACTTTCTGAGTTGCTAAGGAGAGATTGGGGCTTTCCTGCCCAATGGCCGGTGGCAAAGCTGACCTCCCCAGAGGAAGTGCAGGTTTGCTAGGCCTGGGGTGAATGTGACCCTCAGGTCACATGGGCAGCACTGAACTACAGACTTTTCTTTGGTGTCCCCCTGACCCCCCACCCAGTTCCATTTAAATAGTCAAATCCTGTCCTCTTGTCTCACGAAGGCCGCCTCTGAGGAAGCTACACTCAGTTCCTGGAGCTGGAACACAGCACCTGAACCAGCAGCTGGACCCCCTGCCAGCACACCAGAGGGCACCAGAAGCGGCTCTGGCCCGCCCCGGGGCCCAGGCAGGACGAGGTGTGGGCACCTGGCTGTAAGGTCTTTTCCACGTGGACATTTCTAGAGCATCTCTGTGGCTTCCCTCAGCAGCCCGGCGCGCTTTCAGAGCAGGGTTATTAGGGGGCCCTGACCTCACACCTGCACCTCACAGGGCCCTGCACCCTCGCTGACTTCCAGAGACAGCAGAGGGGTGAAGCCATCACTTCTGCCACCTCTGAACCTGAGGAAAGCCCAGCTGCTCCTCCCTCGTCAGGGTTCCCAGCACCAGGCCGGGGGCCCAGGACGGCGCAGGCCAGGTTTTCACCAGCGCACGGGGAACAGAGAAAACTGAGGGCGGCGGATCGTTTCTCAGGAAGTTAAATCTATTTGATTTAAAGGACTGGCTTTTCCATTTTTATTTTAAAGAGTATGTTCTTTCTGCCTCTTTGGTGTTCAAGGAGGCCTTCTCTCATGAAACGAGCTGTTGGGAGGTGTCTTTTATTCAGTTAGTTTTTCAATCTCTTTAATTGTCAAAATTAAGGATAGAGGCAAAATGAGGTCTCCCGGTTTGGGGGAAGTTTGGTGGTCCATGGTATCCAGCCGACAGCGGCTCCTGACCCGGCAGGAAGCGTAGCTTCCCCCACAGAAGAGAGAGGGGAGCCCTGGGCCTGGAAGGAGGGCTCCAGACTGGCGTCTGGGACCTTGGGGATGAAGGCTGAGAAGTCCAGGCCTGGGCTAAGAGGGGGGTAGACATCTGTGGGCAGGGTACCATGGGCCCCTCCCTAAGGTGCGGACCCCAACACCTGCCACGGGTCTGAGAGTAACTCAGCGCAGGCGGTGCGGGTGAGGGGATGCGAGGGGAGGTGGAAGAATGAATATGGGAAACCTGGGTCCCAGTTTGCCACCAGCCAGCAGGGCAGTGCAGACAAAGGCCTCAAGCTCTCCAAGCTCCATCTGCTCACCTGCAAAGGTTCCCAAGGCTTCTGGTCCCAGCCTGGCTGGCATGACATGCCCAGTCTGGAGTGAGAGACCCTCGCTCCACATCTGCAGCCTGAACACAAGCGCAGGGCCCATCAGAGGCTGCTATGCAGACTAGGGAGCTGGAGCCCTTTCTCCGCAGGAGGCTCACATACGCGGACCCTAAGGAATCAGCCCTGGCCACAGTCCTGCAGGGCAGGGGACAAATCCACATAGGCCCAGTGAAGTCCCATCAGAATCTCCTTTCCGGTTCCAAAGCCCGGTTGGCGGGTCCCCACAGGGGCTGTGTCTGCAGTCTGGGCCTGAGTCCCTTCCCCGGCGTGTGAGTGGGGGGGGGCAAAGGAAGTTGGCTTTGGGAGGTGGGGCGGCTGCTGCCACAGTGAGAGCTCAGGCGCTGGGCCAGCTGTGAGCCTGGGTTACTTTCTAAGTACTCCCAGCTGTCCCTTGTAAACACTCTGGCCTCTTGCTGTCACCTGGAACCTATCTTCACACCCCGCTCAAGGGGCAGGAGTCTGGTTGTCTGGGGCAGCCGCTGGGGGCAGATGGCCTTGGCTTTGACTATGGCCACTTGTTTAACCTGTCTGAGCCTTAGTTTCTCCTTCTGCAAAGAGGAGTGAGAACAGAGCCCCCAGTTCAGGTTTTTGTGAGGATGAAACTGGATAACACACAAATGCCTAGACTCAATGCTCACCACTGTTGCTCCTGCTTGGAGAGGGGCAGGGACCTGCCAGCTCAGAGGGACCTCTCTGCAAGCCCCGGGCCACTCCTGAGTGGTGCCTGTGGACACACCCTTCACGCGCCCGGCCCTGGCACTGCCCGAGGCCCCAGCTGGACGGTTGGACCACAGGGCTGCGGGGGCTAGAACCTCCTGTAGATATGGGTCAAGAAGGGTTTTTTTTAAGGGAACTTTCAGCAGTGGCTGGTTCCTCAGTTGTTAGGACAACTGGCACACTCAGCAACATGCAGAGCCGGGGAGCAGGAGAGGTTACAGCTGCAGAGAAGCCCAAGCGGGCGGGGACGTGGCCGAGCCGAGGCAGGGAAAACAGAGGCTCTCACAACCTGAGATGGTGACTTCCTCTGTGCTCAGGGCCCCAAATGCCACTTCTGGGTGAACTGAAAGTCCTCTCAAGACCTCTCAAGACCCATACTCATGGCTCCCCCGATAATGGCTTTCCCCAAGGGCCTGAGCCTGGGCACAGGAGGGTCCCCCCTTGCCCCATCTATTTGCCATAAGCGTTTGCACACTGTGCAGCTCTGAGCAGGCCCTGAGCCACCAAGCTGCTCCCGGACACACCCACCCCCATGGAGCCCTGAGCTTCCACCAGCCTCAAAGTGCCTGCAGCCCCTCTCCTGGCCCTGGAACCTTGAGGATGCCCGGCAGCAAGGCTCCTGGGCAGCTGCGCTGTGTGCCCAGGCCTCGGGGAGGCTCTGGAGGGTGCCAGAGCTGCCAAACCTAAACTCCAGGGCCAGCTGATCCACCATGGGCCTGGCCTGGGCCCCCGACAAACCTGGGCAGCATGCAAGCCAGGCCGCTCCATGCCACGCCACAGGGACCCCGTCTCGGCGCCGGGCCCCCGGCTGAGCCCCGGGCCGCCAGCTGGGCCCAGAGCTGGTTTCCCCCCTGAGTGGGGCGTCTGCACCTCCGTGCCCGGGCAGGGGCAGGCCCGGGGAGGGCAGCGGGGCGGCGCAGTACTCACAGCACGCAGAGCGCGTAGGCCCGGGAGATGGACTCGCTGGCGCGCACAAGGAAGCTGCCGTCCTTGCCGGTCCTGGAGAGCAGCTCCTCGGCCTTGGCGCGGGTGATGTTGCCATGGTTCCAGCAGGGGACCATGGCGGGCGAGGGCCTCCTGGGCCGGGCCGGCGGCCACCCCGGACCGACACGCCACCAAGGGGAGCCGAGGCCCCTGCACTGCCACCCCTGCCTGTCCCCTCTCTGTGGCCCCAGCTGCTGCCACCGGCTCACTGACCGACGACTTCCTGTTTCAGGCGCTTTGCGAGGGAAAGGAAACGAGCTGAGAGAACTTCCTCATTGCAGGGACCGAGCGGGAGCCGGGCCTCCACCTTCCCACCCCACCCGCCAGGCCCGGGCCTCCTCCGCCCACCGCCCGCCCTTGCTTTCCTCCCATGGTCGCAGTCCCTAGGGGGTCCAATGCCAGCCGATGTCCTGGGGGGATTGGCAGCTCCTTTGGTGTCAGGAGGCTTATAGCTGGCCTCTGAAGGAGCAGGACCGGGCAGGCGAGGCCACGCCAAAGCAGTGGCCATTCAGAGGCCTGTCCCTATGCCCACGTGGGGTGGCCACGCCCTGGACGGATCCCTCAGCCTTCTTCCCTGCCCCAGAGCTTTTCAGCTCCCTGTCCTTCTACCCCCAACATGCCCAAGGGACAGCGACTCCCAGGGCAGAGCTTCTCAACCGGGTCTAAGCCCTCCCAGGGCTGAGCAAAATCAACGGGGAGGGGTACAGTCAAGCCCTCCTCCCCCAACTGGAGACTCACGGTCACTGAGTCGCTACACAGCCCTGAGTACTGAGAGGACCTGGGGGACACCACCTGAGGGCTCCAAGGGCCCAGGCAGCAGCTCTGTGACACCTTTACACTCATCCTCAGGGGCTGGTGAGTGTGAAGGACCTGGAGTGACCCATTCACCATGGCAACATACATGCTGGCTGGGTTTTTACCCATGGGTCTTTCCAGAAGACTCAGGAAACCCACACGTCCCCAGGGGCATGCTGGCCACCTGGCCAACAATGATGCTCCTTCCTGAGTTCTACATCTCAGCAGACTCAGAGGTGGCCAGGCATGGCTGCCTTTGCCCACAGCTCAAAGGGAAGGTGCCCACCAGGGGCCACCATCCAGGGCCAGCAGAGTTGAGGGCTCTAAAGTAGATGTCCACTCCTTGGGCCCCGAACTGGGAGCCCTCCGTCCTTTGGTCAGACCCACCAGAGTGAAGGGTGAGGTGCTGACCTATTGCACAAGGGAGCCCCTTAATCCCACACCCAGAATCCCCTCCAGGGCCTGAGCCAGGCCTCTACCTTCAGGAAGGTAGCCCCATAAGGAGCTCACGTGTGCCAGGGAGCCCCCAGCACCTGCAGCCTGCAGCAGCACCCACGGCAGGTGATTCCGAGCAAGCAAAGTGCTCTCATCCCGTTGGACTGACCCATTTTGATTCTGAGGCCCAGAGCGAGTGCCCCTCCCTGCTCTGCCCACTTCTGGGCCTCAGGTGAAGTTCCTTTTGGAAACTCGAGTCCAGAGAATTCCTGTCCTCACCCCCACCCCAAAGCTGGTTCCCCTCAAGCCTCCTCCCCGTCTCCTCCCACTGAACCCAAGGACTAAACTCCCAAAACTTCAGCAACCCTGTATTGGGGCCCCCTGGGCAGGCCGAGTGGGCAGAATACACGGTGGGGGTAAAAGCTGGCCTTTCCAAAGCCTGTTGGGCCCTGGCTCTGCCAACTCCCCAGCAGCCCTGGTGGAGGCCTCTCCTTCCCTCACCCCCACCTCAGCTCCACCCAACGTTGACACCCCCATCACACCCTCCCTCCCTGCTGACCTGCACCACCCTACTCCCAGCCTCAAAGCCTCAGGTCACTCTAGGGTCCATCAGAAGGCTCCATCCGAAATCCTGGCCCCTTAGTGCCTTGGCCAGCTCATCCCTAGAGCCCCTCCACCACTCTTTACCAATAACCATCACCCCCCTCACTTTCCAGCTTCCCACTCCCCCTCTTTCATGCCTCCGTTCCCACTGAGCCCTACCTCTCAGCAGTGTCGGGGTGCCCAGTCGGCCTGTCCTTGCCATTGGACTCCGGTGTGATTTCCCTTTGACACACACGTGACATATGCTCGACACATCCATGACACACAAGTTTCCCTGATTTGTAAGGCCCATCCCATCTTCACTTCCTTCCCAACCCAACTACCTGAGCCATCCGGCATCTTCTAACCAGCTTCTCTTCAATTATGGGGACCATAATCACCTCATTGCTGTATGGCGCTCTCTTTCACTGATGACCATGCCCCTGCCTTGCGAACAGGAAAGCAGTCCCATTCTCAAGGACTGTCCTTTCCCCCAGGCATGATTAAGATCAGCCTGGAGAGCTCACTGTCAGCTGACTGGAGGAGTCCATGGGCAGTGTAGAGCAGTGGTCTCGAGAGCCATTGAAGGAGATGCTGCTGCGTGACACCTGGACAGGGGTCTCCGGAGGGGGTGGAGGGACTGCCAAGTGCTGTTGGCAGGCGTGTCGAGGGCAAGAAACACCTGCCACTATCCCTGCCATCCTCAGTGCTACTGGATGGAGGCAGCACCGTGGGTGGAACACTGTAGGTGAGAGGCGACCTGGGGGCCCACATGCAGTTCAAGGCCAGGATGTAAGAGTCACCCAAAGTCAGCATCTCAGCACCATTCTAGTTGCCCAATCTTTTGCTATCACACAAGGGAAATACCACCTTGGTTAGAAGTGACCTGCTCCCAGGCTGTCCTCTTGAATTACATGCAGCCATGGGGCTCCAGAAAGATCCCATAGGCTTGAGTCGCAGAGCTCCTTGGAACATCTGGTCAACCCCACACATAGGGGAGAGGGTTGGAAAGCAGCTGACAGGGGAAAAGTAGGGTGAGGGCTCATGTGGGTCCATTCCAGACTGGGGCACTTCACCCAACTGCCCTGCCAGCCCTGGCCTGTCCCCAGCACTGGCAGGGGACTTGGAAAATCTCTAGGAATTCAGGGCAGGGAGCAGCATCAGGGTGGTCTGGCAGGCACCAGGTCACAGGCACTTGGCTGTCTCTAGAAGCTCTGGGACCAAGAGACAAAACCTCAGTGTTGAAGAAATGAGCTCACTTGCAGGCAACCCGCCTGCCTTCTCCTCACACGGAGTCTCGGTTCCACTTCTGTTCCTGGCATCTTCGAGTTGGCCTTTCCAGATCCTCCCCTGGACCCCTGCAGACACAAATTCAGTTCCAAGTTGGTTCAACAGTGCCTGAGCCTGAGGTCTCTTGGGACATGGAGCATCCTGACAAGCAGGCAGGAGAGGTCTCAGTTCACAGCCCCACCCACCCTCTTCCCCTCACAGCTCTAGTAACTGTTTCTGAGCTGTAAACCAGTCCAGGGACAGTCACATGCAGGTGAGGCCGGGGTCTGAATCCCAGCTCTGTCACAAATATGTAGCATCTGAATCTCAGTTTGCATCTCTGTGAGGTTATGGATCAGGCCCTGTGCAAAGTGAACCCCACAACAAGGCAGGTGTCGGAGGTGGCCTTCCGGATGGGTGCGGAGGGCAGAGCCTGGGTGGCTCCAACCTGCACCCAGCATCAGTGACACTCCCGTGGCGTATCAGCCCAGCTCCGAAAGAGGGCAAGATTCTATACAGTGCTCTTTACCTGTGATTAAAAATTACCCAACTGGGTCAGGCTCTGAGCCTGGTGATTCCCGCCACCAGGGGGAGCCTTGAACTCCAGCCCCATCCAAGAGTTCGGGTGTGATGCTCTGTAGAGCCCCAAGTCTCATGTTCCCATGGCAACAATGCCAACAGGGATGGAGGTGATTTCCCAAGAGGTCCAAAGGCCAACAGAGTTTTAATTGTGCTCAAGGACGCCCGGTGAAGACCAAAGGCCTGGCAGCGAGCCACTCTGTCCTTTCACTGAGGATGCCCGAAAATCAGACCTGTGAACAGCAACATAGAGAATGAATTTGACTTTGGAGAGAATCAACTGAGGGAGAATCACATCCACAAAAATACCATGGGTCTTTCGCCAAGGTCATTAAGGTCATGGGAAACTATTCATAATAATACAATGGTAAGTAAAAAATAAATCAGGAAACCAATGGGAGATATTGATTCCAGCTATGGGAAAAATTTCATCTCAGGAAATCACAGATTTTGAACAGTGCTTGGTGAGTAGTGGCAATCTAACTAGCACAGGGAAAAGTAAGTTTTTCCTGCTTGCCCAGACGCCCAGTCCCATTGCCCCAAGGCCAGCATCTACAAGGTAACCAAGCTGCCATAGCAACCACCCCCTGATGGTTCTCTGCCCACAGGGTCAGGTTTGCCAAACTGTGGAGACAGCAACTCTCTGGCCCTGAGCGGAGCCATCGAGCCGTCGGCCAGCACTGGTCAGCCTGCCCGGCTGCTGCCGACGGTGCTGGGGCGGCCACTGCCCAGGCCCGGTGAGGCCGCCAGCCTCTGTCCCGGTCCCGAGCGCGTCCCAAGCCTGAATCATGACAGCCCTTCCTTGGCAGGGCCTGTGACTGCATTTCCTAAATGCATTTTCTGCCAACAGCCACGCACGTTCCGCGGTGATGACGTGTCAGCTCCTTTCCAGCTTCATGTTCTGTGCCTCTTCCTCGGTGCCATCAGCAGTGCTCCTGACGGATGCGCCCAGACAAGAAACACCCCCGCCCCGCCGGCCCCGGCCTCCTTCCCGCTGGAACCTCTGCCCGGTGTCGTCTCCTGATCTGGTCCTCCTGCGTGGCTGCCCTGGGTCTCAGAAAGCCCAGGGTTTTCCTAACTGTATCCACCCCCATTGATCACTCTCAAAGCCACGTGAAAGTCACCTCTGTGATGCCCCTCCCCT